TTTACACGGTATGCGTTGATCAGTCGATGCACTTCTACCAGTTCCTACACCACATCAATTCATCAATCCTCATCAACAAGTTGCTTTCCTCACATTTACCTTTCATCTGAGCTGAAGCATCAAATGTCAAAACGATGTCTCATTTGTGTGAGTGCACTTGACTGCCTACATCTTGCAGCTACCAACTTGGCCGCACACCATTCCATCCATACCGGTCTCGCTAACATCCCACCACTTCTCCTGCATAGTTACTTCCAAGCTCTGCCAAGAAACACATGCAATGGCACCTGTGAGAGGGAAGTCCAGGTCTATGCGAGAATACAGTTCCTTCACTCCAAGTGGCAGTTTCGGTGGATTATTCGCTCCTCCAGTTGTGTAGGGCCTCCACGCACCGTGGTTCCATGAATTACCATCACCACCACATTGGCTTTACTTAACTGTATGCAAACCGATGCGATCGTTTGATTGTGTAATCACTTGAGATGTGTCAAGTATGTCGAAGTGTGCATTTATTAGCGTCAGCATCTCTCATGCTACTGCTAGAGGTATTTGCTGAAGGAGACGTCAAATATGTAAGCAGAAACTTTACTACTGGAAGTGGTTTTCAGTTGCAATTGAAGCCAAGGAGGTGGTAATGATTGCATGACAAACAGTCGTTTGAAGGCAGGGAACATGCGTCCTACTGGAAAGCAGTGCTCCATGTAGACATCAAGGCAATGCTCCATGTGCCGAGGTGGATTCACTCAATGGGTCTTGTCCCTCACTTACTGTGTCGCAATCGTCACTCAATTGGATTAATTCATTGCTACGACTCATGGACCCTTCCAGACGCCCTTCATTTGGGCGCTAAATCAGTGCTAGTGCATGACCACAAGTCCTTATAAGGTGTGGAGTACAATGAGCAGGGTAATGAGATGACTAGCTACTCTGGGGTAGAACATTCAAATAGGACAAGCCTTTCAAATGCGGTCCTACGTGTTAGTGATGATCCCGATGGTTATCTTCTCTATACACATTGTGGGGCATATGTAGGCGGCATTATATGGGTTCGGTGCTGTAGGGTACTGTTTTTTGTGAAATGCATTATATTCCTATCATTTTGCATCATTATACCATGCAAATGAGAAGAACCCGTTGTATGTGAATTGAATTGTTGGGTTGCAGCAAGAAATGCGCTTATCTGGATTCTAAGGTTACTGGAGCTGCCTTCTTATCAACTTCGTGGTTTTATAGCACTTGCTGAAAATTTTCAGCATGCGCAGATAGGAAATGGTGTGCAGCAGTTTAATTTAAACGATAGGTTAACTGAAGACAATTGCTGCACCCAAAGCAGGAGGGTCCTCCATTCGCGATAATAATGAACGATTGCACGGCCGCAGTGGCACTTATGCCAACTGGCATGTCGAGGTGCAGCCTAAGCAGGTGCATCCCACCTGGTATGCTTTGACACACAACCGCTAACTTCAATGGATCCCAAATTCACCTTCGCAGGTACACCACTTCGAATCTCCATTATGAAACTGATCACTCCTATACCGGTTGTCGACTAACATGATGTGTGATAGAATTTTTGTTGCAAAGTTCGTTGATTGAGCGAACAAGGAGCTAGTTGTTGTCGAAAGTTTCACCGCTCCATTGTTCACTCCAGCCTTGCCTTCAGCCTCAAATATGTTGCCTGATTCACGTGTGGCGCGATGCAGATTAGCCTGAAATCCATCCACCCGATACAATATGGCTTGAACATGTACAAATTGTCTTCATTCTATTACCTCTTGTCGTAATGCTAAGAAAGGGAGGTAACCAACTAGTCATTGTGAAGAAAGTCTCCTTTTCTCAAGGCAGTACAATGCTTAACACCACGTCACACTGCTGGGTCGTGCGATGATGTACACTCGAGTTACAGTGAGAGTAAACCACTGCCTCCTCCTTCTCCTCCTTATTACCTTAGTGATATTCGTTTGAAGTGAAGCTATGACCCTTTCTTGACATCCCACATTCGCAAGCAAATGTGGAAGAAGCACGTACGAAAGAAGAAAGGAAGAGAAATGGAGGTGGTTGTTTACTACTAGAGAAGAGGACGCGTTTTATTGCAGTGGGGGGTGAAGACAGTTTGTACTTCAATGGATAAGGAAGGCAGACTGAAGTGGTAATTATTCCATCAAAAAGGCAACTTAAGCTACCTGTTTGCCTCACGAATGCTATATCCACTACTTGAATTCTCTACTCGTGTGCTGCAAATCGCATTGTCATTTGAATTTGACACGATCAAAGAGACACCAAGTGTTGGTCAGTATTTCTTTAACTAGAAAGCAGGAGCATCCAAGTTAATGGCTACTCCGCCCTTTACAATATTTTGCCTGGGTTTTGTGCCTACATAAAGCGATGCACTTTGCTTGCATCTTGTACCACATAGGCAGTCTGTTGCAAACCAGAGTGACAGAGCAGGCACAGCTGACTAGCAAGAGATTTGGGCAATGATACTAGCTTCATGACACCTTGGTAAGCTACTCCCCGAAGTAGATCCATTTTATTAATGACTTGTTTCCTTATCACTGTAGGCGCACCTTCTCGGCCCTGCTGTCCTATTCTCTCCTCACACATCCATTTGCATAATTAACTGGTCGTTCATTCTAGTGTAGTTCAATTCTAAACCACTTCAGCGAATCTGCGATTTTGGTAAGTAATTTGTGCAGAAGATTAAATAATCACCTCAACATTCATCGTGACACTGCATGCCTCCGTGATCACCTCCTTTGAACATGGCAGTCGCCGTATCCACGCCTCTGCCAGCCGTTGCAACTTCCCCTCAGACGGACTCCAGCACAGCCTCTCATCCTCAATCACATGAAGTAGGTAGACTTTGAATCTAACATGCCACTTCTTAATGAGACTGTTCAAGGCGTGGGTTTGATCAACCATCTTGGTGTTGGAAGCTATGCCTTTGTTTTCCACCACCACACGCAGAAGACGTGACAGTGCCGCCAGAGTAGTGCGGTGCATTTCCTGTGGCCTCTCCACCCTTGTTGTAAGTTTCTTCGAATCGGTGATGGTGGAGGTAAATGCATCGGGAGCGAGGATTATGGAGTAGATGTAGCGGTAGAAGATATGAAGACCGATGAACTGAATCAGGGTAAGAAGGATATATTGCAAGTGGGGAGCACATTTTGTCTGTTATTTCAAGCTCAATTGTAGTGGATTGCTAGATCTCTCCTGAGTTTGTATTAGAGGTGCATTCCAACCTGTACACCTCTCATGGGCATAACTGTGCAACCATGCTTGAACGCGATTTGGAATGAGCTCACAAGAGCTTTGATACCAATCAGTAAGGTTCTGTCACTGGACACTTCGAATACTGATGTGTAAGGCATCTGGTTTGGTGTGGTGGAGCAACGATTTTCATTTCTCTGACCACGCAGATGTGACAATTGCCTGCCTGACCTATCACGCTGCCAGCTTATAGGCATAAGACTATAATTTGCACACCTCATGCAGTCTTAAACTCACCTGCCTCTTTACGACTGTTCTAACTCCCATCCGTAATT